TTCTCCAAACCTGATGAAGAAACAAACTCATCCACATCTTGGATAGGATGAGAGTGAGTAAATGTTCATTTTTGGCTGAACTATTCCTTTAAGTGTGCCATTTGAGATCAACATCCCACATACAAACACACACACACACACACACACACACACACAGAGACAACAATGAATCCACCAGAGATACTAGAGCAAATAAAAAGCATAAATGACTGAAGGTCACATTTATTAAACTTATCATGTTTACTCTCTCTCTACTCTGTAGTTTAGTATAGTCAATACACTAATACTTCATTTTTAAACACTTGTGCCTCTACACATCTTAATACACTTATTGCAACGACAGAGGCCTTGGAAGGGGGTTCGAGGGGTGTTTGATTTGCTACCTGACACAGAGGGGAAGCCACAGGTGGATGTGTGTCCTTTATACAGATGCGACATTAAACGGAGAGCCGACTCGTTTTAAGCAGGAAACGTTTAACTATCCATATCGTGATTTTTTTTTCCTGTTGCGCCAACTGGCTTTAGTCTGTATCCACACAGAAAAAAACGAGAAAATCCACAGGTCTTGAGCAGTCCGATCGATCCGTAAGTGAGGTTTCTGTTCACAGAGCGTCCGCTTTCAGAACCGTCCAATCACAGGCTTATTCTATTCCAGACTGTCCAATCCAATTCATCAAATCCATCTGAGTCTCTGCTGGCCCCGCCTTCCCCGTCTCTGGCCGATATAAACTGTACGTCAGCCAGAGGTGATACAGTAGCTGCAAACGCAACAACATCCCGTGCATCAGTATTGAGTCACAAAAGCATCAACTTTTGCCATTTCTTCTTTAAAAAAAAAAGAAGTCATTTTTAGACATAATATATTGCACGTCTTAACAGGTGAATCTCATGAATAATATCTAGATCAAATTTCACCCCAAAATAAAAATAAAAATTAATTTTTTGCTTAAAAAGTGAAATTAAATAGGACTATTAAGATTTGCATGTGCATTTTGACACTTTTTTTGTACTGAATTTAATACAATATACAATAAAAAGATACAAAATACAAAAATCCAATAAAATCATTGTATAATGAGATTTTATGTGCAATTATTTTAATGTGCAATGCAAAAATAAAAAATAGGTTTAATTTTCATCATGCAAAATATAACCGCTTAATGTTTTTATGCATTTATTTATAAGTACTGTGTTTATATAATCAGACAAAAGCTTCAATATTTGCCATTTGTTCTTTCAAAAATCATATACTGCATCTTTTAACTGGTACATCTAATGAATAATGTCAAACAAATGTCTGGGTCAAATATCACCCTAAAATAATATTAAGAAATTATATTTTGCATGAATAAGAAGGGAAATTAACAAATTTTTAGGACTGTTGAAATTTGCATTGCGATACTGTATTCGTACTATGAATATTTACAAAATCAAAATAATAAAATCTTTGTGTAATGCGATTTTATGCATTACAGGTAGTTTAAGAAAATGTACTTAATTGTCATTAACATAATGTGCAATGCAAAAATAGGTTTATTTTAAAATATAAAATTCTAATTTTTATGCATTAATTATTCAGTATTGTGTGTCTTTACAATCAAACAAAAGCTTCAATATTTGTAATTTCCTCTTTTAGAACGTTAATAAAATATATTGCTATTATTATTTCTTAACAGGTGAATCTTATAAATATTGTCAAACAACATCTGGGTTAAATAGCATGAATGAAAAGTAAATGAAATTTGCATTGTGACATTATTTCGACAACATATTTATACTGAATTTTGAATCATTGTGTCCAGGCAGTAATAAAAAACGTTGCAATGTTATGCATCACAGTAAACTTTAAAGAAAATATGCTTGTGAAAATGTGACAATGCAATTTTTTTTTCTTTTGATTTTGGGCTGAAATTTGACATGGATATTTCTTTGTGAGATTGACCCTAACATCATATATCATCTCTAAATACACACATACATTCTAGGTTTACAGATAATCAGTGATGTACATCCACACATACAGGACGTGCACAGTGAGCAAACAGCACTTGTTCAGGTAACACACTGCACAGGGTGTGGACACAAAGTGCTAAATGAAGTTTTATGCCGAGGATGCGTGACACAAAATCTCCCTACACCAGTTGCTTAGCAACCATCCCTTCCAGATTCACTCACATGATGCTCAGGACAAATCTCTGAATTAACATTAGCTACAAACACACATGGCACATATGAATGACACAGAGGTCAGAGGATGCAGATGAATGACTCGGGTGACGTGAGCTGTCGGTCTGTAGTTCATAATGAAAGATGGAAGATTTTCAATCAGACCATGTGTTAAATTAGTTTCTGCAAGCATGAATAGAAATATATATGACTCATTGATGCATTTACAGTTTACATCAACAGAGTGAAATCAAATCAACATCTAAAGGAGATCAAAACTCCTAAACACACCATTCTGCGCACAATTCATAAGGGCATGTTTTATAAAACCTTATTTAATTCGTAATTATTCAACCCCTCCAATTTAAACAACTGGCTCTAATTAGGTAAGTAATGTCTGCTTTCATTTTCTGTAGGCAAAAATTATTCTCTTCATTTATTATTTAGATCTTCTAAAGACTGAGATTTTATGCATTAATTTCTACATTCTACATGCAAATGTCTACATTAAAGAAAATGTTATTATTGTCATTAACAATGTCCAATGTCAAAAACAAAAACAGGTTTCGTTCCGATTTTTGGAAGAAAAGAAAACTTATACCCAAATTAAAGTCTTGACTAAAGTCCTAGTTAAATGGAGTCAGTTAAAACTTTGTAGACAAATAAATAAATAAAAATGGCAAAAAATACACAATAAAATGACAAAAATTTTAAATAAAGTTAAAATTGAAATAGGAAAGAGAAAATAAGAACCAATTAAAAAAAACTATAAAAGTATCTCAGTGATATTAAAACTGAAAACTGAAATAAAAGTAAGCAAAAACTGAAATGAAAATGAATAAAAAAATTATAGACATAAAAAATAATAAATTATAAAAACACAAAAATGACAAACTAAAATTAAAATGAAATCAGAAGATATAAAATAAAAACCAATTTAATATATTAATGAAAACTATAACAGCATCTCAATGCTACTATACTAAAACTAAAATGAAATATATAAAAACCTACATAGATATATAAAAAACTAATAAAAATGACAAAAATACGACAAAATTACTAAAAATAAAATATAAAAATCAGTTCAAAGTATTAACAGCAACTATAATTGCATCTCAATGATATAACTGAAAGCTGAAATAAAACCTAAATTACAGCTGAAATAAAATATAAACTATATAGACATTAAAATGAAAAAACTAAAATTAAACTAAAAATGTACTAAAATTAACCTAATTATTTATAAGCTAAAATTAAAGACTAAAATTAAAATGAAAACAGAAAGTAAAAATGAAGCTAACTCAAAATATTAATAAAACTATAACAGTATCTCAATGATACAAAAAAACAACAACATTGAATTTTGTAAGTAAAAAGTTTTATTAAAACATGCACTTATTTTGCACAATTAGACCAGGAAGGTGTTTTTGAGAGTACAGGGTGCTACAATCAAATGTAGTAGATGCAATAGTGTTTCATGTTGACTTGAACTCTTTTCTATAAATAGTCCTTAAGAATCAGCAGCATCTGAGAGCGATCAGATCAAGTTCGGCCAATCAGAGTCATTCTCTCGCTCTCCCCAGTGACATCACACAGCACGAGAGCGGCTGTTACCTGTGAGTCTCGCGAGTCTCGTCTCCCTTTAAGACAGAACGTTTGCCTCTGTGAACACAACCTCTGAGCAGTTATCTGTGTGTACAACCAGTGCAACGAGACACTCGCAGACGTCCGGCAATACGTACACACACACACACAGACAGACACGACAGCTCGCGAATCTGCTTCTGATCGCGCTTGTGGAACTCTTCCTCAATAAATGTTTAATACAAGAAAATCACATTAAATGGGCCAATCTCGCAAAAAATGTTCAAGAAATTATATTTTACATAAAGAAAATGAAGCCAGTTGTTAGGACTATTATGATTTGTTTTGCATTGTGACATTATTTTCATGTCAACTAAGCACATTTTTTGCAAATAAATGAAATGTATATTTTAATAATAACATAATAATATAACAATAATATTAGCATTAATTATTTAAAATTATTTAAATTTAAATTGTGGTAATAATGCATCATGCTAGTAAATTTAATGAATACTGTAATACAATATATACTTAAAATTTAAATTGTGAAATAATTGGTAGTAATTTGTCATTGGCAGTAATTCGTTTTCACTACTGTAATAAAGTGTTTATTAAAAATGTACATTTTGAAATAATTATGCATCATGGCAGTCATTTACGTAAAATAATACAATATATACATATATTGTAATACAACAATATATATTTCAAATCTAACAAAGTTATTATGCATTATATAGTAATTTGTAGAAAAAAAAAAAAATCCCATTCTCATTACTGTATCACAATTTCTTTTTAAAATTTAAATTGTAAAGTAATCATGAATTCAGGTAATAATTGATATAATTTAATAACTTTGATTTGTTTTAATTCTTCATCACTAAGAATAATAGGAATTACACAGAAAACACATTTTTACAGTATTAATAAATGTGTTTAATTGAAATGTCACAATGCAAAACAAAAGGCTTCATTTTTATTAAGCAAAATATTATTTTTTCTATAACAATTTTGTGAGGTTTACCCCAATATTTCTTCGTACAAACTTTATATTATCACTCCATATACAGTTATGTACAGTACATCATAATGGGTATATCCATAGAGGAGAGGATAATGTACAGCCCCGCCCACAGCAGGCAGAGTCATTGGGAGTGGGAGTGGCCTCAGCAGATGGGCGGGGCAGGGGAGCAGGAGGGCAAGGTCACTGGAGAGAGACGCTGTCAAAGCCTTCAGACGCAACATGAAGAGCACAGAACACACAAAACAAACACGAGACGGCGTGAGACGTGACACAAACACACCACGTCACACTCACTGCGTCCAGCCATCAGAACCATCAAACACTGAAGCGTCTGGAAGATTCATCCGAGACGTTTTTGGCGTGTCTTTGTTTCGTTTGGATGGCTGAACACAGTTTGTGTGTAAATCATGCGCTCAGTGATTGGGAGAAACTCAACTGCTCAATGATCAAAGCATATCATTTCCTAAAAAACAAATTACTACAACCTTTTCAGAAGACTGAAACACAGCCCAATTATGATGATTATGATGAAGATGAAGATGATCATGGTGATGATGATGATGATGATGGAAAAGGTATGAATCAAATTCAACAAAAGCCAGTCTGGATGGAAATGCCAACTAGAACTGCCCAAACCTCGCCTCATTTCTGCATATCTTGCTTAAGTCTTTTATGAACAGAGTTTGACCAACGATGCACAAACAGTGTACAGTATCGGTCCTGACCATATATGTAATGCTAGAATGTTGTTTACACATCCTGGAACGATGATCAATGCAAGTAAATCATACTGATTAGTACAGTACCATATCATGTATATCAGAATGTATTATGCGGTAAAGGTACATTATGATGAAAGATGATTAGTCAGAGCTGTTGTCTTGATGCTTAAGATAAAATATTGTAATATATACAATACATATATAGTATGTATTATTAATAATTGTTATTAATATATTAACATATAATAATTATATTTATAACTACATTGTTAATTATAATAATAAAATTATATAAGACATTTATTTAAAAAAATATTTAAAAAGGATCAAATATTGTGTTATGCAATTATGTTTATAATAATTATAATAATAATCTTATTAGTATATATATATATATATATTAATATATATATATTTAGATGT